GTATATCTCAGTGGTAAAACACTTGCCTTGTATGCATGAGTCAGTCCCACAAAATAAATAAAAATAAATAAGAAAATAAATAATAAATAAATAAAAAGTAAAGACACAAGTAAGTGTATTTGCTATCAGTTACCCTATCCTAGGTAGAAGGCTTTCCTCTCCATAAAAAATTTCTTATTCACCAACAAAAACTAAAAACGCAAATGAATTTCAAATCTTTCCATAAATACATCAAAATAATATGATACAATTTATATTTTGTATTCTCACATGTATCAGTGAAATTATGTGTCCCCAAATGATATCAAATCTAGAGCTTTTAAATTGGAAGAATCCATGACTGAACAACCACAACAGTAAATCTACCATTTACCATGTTTCCCAGATCTGGCTGAAGTTTGCAGATCAAGTCGAGAGGGATAGACGTGGGGCTTTCATTGCCAAGAGAAGGCCTGCTGCCTATGTTCATTTCCCATGAACCTGGACAAGATTCAAGGCCACAACTCAGCCCTAATTGCTTCTTGCAGCCGCTCCCTCAGCATACAAGCTCTGGCTCACTGTCATTTTTACTGTCCAAAGAGATAAAACCCAAATCCAAGCCATAATTCTGGAAGTGCTGACAACAATGTACCCCTCTCCTCAGTCCTGTCTCCTCTCCTCAACTTTTTCTCCCAGTCTAAAAGCTTACTTGCTATCCATAGGAGAAATGCTAGACACAGAGGGTGAAGATGGGGGATACTGAGCACTGAAGTGGCAGAGCACTGACCTGGATCACCTGAGAATCTGCTAGAGAGGCAACCATTTGTCTCTTTCTCCTCCCAAGATTTCATTGGACATGCTCCCACATAGGAAACACACACACATGCACAAACACACATACAAAGACAAACATACACAGAAATACACATATACACACATATACACATACACAAACACATACATACAAACATACACTAGTACACACAAACGTACATACACAGACGTCCAAACAGACATACTCATGCACATACAAAAATAAACATATAAATACACAGATATACACACATACATACACAGATCTACAAACACATCAAATATACTCATATAAACATAAAAACATATACATACAAACACACATATACCATATATCATATACACACTGTCCTAGTTTGTTTCTCCATTGCTGTGACAAAACACTCTGACCAATACCAACTTGGGGAGGAAAGGGTTTATTTAGCGTACATCTCCCAGGTCACAGTTAATCAGGGAACCCAAGATAGGAACTCAGGGCAGGAACCTGGAGGCAGGAGCTGGAGCACAGACCATGGAGGGACTCTGCTTACTGGCTTGCTCCCCTGGACCCTGCTCAGCCTGCTTTCTTATGCAACACAGGCCCACCTGCCCAGGGGTGGCACCACCCATAGTGGGCTGGGCCATCCCACATCACACAACAATCAAGAAGATGCCTCACAGACATGGTCACAGGCCAGTTCAATGGAGGCAATTCCCCAACTGAGGCTCCCTTAACCCAGGTGTGTCAGTTGACACTAAAGCTATCCAGCACACACACAAACATATACATATGCCCATAAACATACCTATATACACACACATAAACATACACTAACATGCATATACATGCACGCATAAATGCACATACACACATATACAAATACATGAATATACATTTACTCAGCCACACAGGTATAAAACCACACATATGCACATACATACACATATACAAACATACATATATTCACACAAACATACACATAGTCACACACATACATAGACACACATAGATAAATACTGCCCAGCATCCTTTGCTATTGGTGTATTCATGGGAAATTTCTGATTGGTAAGATGCATGGGAAAATATTATATGAGACTTCTGGGAGGAAGTATATCCATATTTCTACATTCCTCCTGCTGTTCTCTGGGTTGTCACTAGGAAGCTGAGGCTTGGGTAGTTCGCCATGTGGATGTGGTGAGGATGTGGGGCACTAAGCAACAGTGCCCTGTGTTCAAGTTAGAGTCAGGGTAGCCTGAAATGTCTATCTTTTCAGAGAGACCAACTAGTGAAAACTTAACCAACACACAGAAAACTCCAGGTATCTTTAGTTCTTTTTTCAACATTTTACATGCAACATAATCTCACTCCTACCGATTAACACACCTATTATAGCAGATGTATAATAAATGATTATATCATTGCAAGAAGTTAAGGTACACAGCCAATATCTACTTTAATGGATAAGCAAAGGTTGAGAAGTGTCATATAACTGACATGATATCAAACTAGTAAGTAGGCAGGTTGCAAATCCATGTTTAGATTCGAAACCTATACTCTTTTCAAGTCATTGCTGTACAGAGTGGGGGAGGGGTATAAATCTCCCCCAGGTGCCTTTAGCTAAGTCTCTTAATCTTTTTATCCAAATTTAAAATTAAAATTAAACCTCTGTCTATGATATGTAATGTGGGGAGGACAAGTGGGCTTATTGTGCAAAGCACTGAAAAAGCCTGGAAAAAGAATCACTATTTAATTCAAATTCATGTATACAACCAAAACTATTTAAAAAATCTGAGTACAAGGAAGCAATGATTTCTACAGTTATGTAGGTCTTTACTTCCAGTGTAGTAAAAAATAACCAGCTCACCCACAAACTGTATACATGCTTAAACGAGTTCACTAAATCAGTAAATAACAATCTGTTTAGTCTGTGTGTCTGGGTTGTGTCTAAAACACTTACTTTACATTTTCAGTGTCTGTCTGTACTTGCCTGATAATAAAGATGTCTCCAGTTAAATAAAGGAAGAGCTGCAGGTTATGGGGTCTAGCCAACTTATATGAAATACCTTCAGGCTTGTCATCTAAAAGTTGCTCAGTCTGGTTGTTTGGAGTATGACTGTGATTTTAGAAAAGGAAATGTACATAACATGCCTAAGATTTTATTGTTTATTCATTTTCCTATGTTACCATTGGGATTGTGTGATTGAAAAGGCTGAGACCACTTCAAAGATAACTAGACTTCTGAATAGAAGATAGTTATGAAAAATCTTACTCGTTATGCTAAAGATTAACTTCCTCATTAACTACAAGCATGTTTGAAGCAGATCTTTGTGTAGAACTCTATAGTAAGATTCCTACCTTTGCTGTAGTAAATTGCCTCAAATGTCCTGGCTTAATCTTCAGCCCTTCAAATTTATTCTCTTATAATTCTGAAGGTCAAAATTCCAGAATAAGTCTCACTGGACTTAATCAAGGTAAGGTAGTTACAGAGCTGTATGTTTTCTGAAGAGTCCAGAATCATTTATGGGTATATAGGCTGATAGGGATCACACCTAGTTCCTTGGGATTATGGGAACAAGACCCCTGTTTTTTTGTTTGTTTGTTTGTTTTTGCCCCTTGCAGTTTTCAAATAAAGCAACCCACCTCAAAGTCTGTCTGAGCCTTTGGATCACTCCTGCTCCTTGACGATCACGTCTCACTAGCCCTTCTTTTGCCTTTCCTTTCCTTGTTTATTTAAAGACACAGGTAATTGGTTTTTATAGTTTTCATCCACCCAGTTCATCCAGGTTAATCTTTCTATTTTAAAATGGCTAAATCAGGGTTGGCAATGTGGCTCAGTGAGTAACAGTGACTTCTGCCAAGCGTGGTAACGACCTGAGTTCCATCCCTAGATCCCATTCTGTAAAAGAGAATTGACTGCCACAATTGTCTTCCTGAGGGAAAAATGAGTACAGTGGTATATGTGCATGCACGAATGCATACACACACACACACACACACACACACACACACACAATCAATAAATGTAAAAACTATTGATAAATCAGCAGCCTTACTTTCAGATTTAATTCTGTTTTGTCAATTATGATGGTTATATTGATTGTCAAGGTAACAGGGCATGTCTTTGAGGGAGTTTCCAGTTGGGTTGAGGTGGGAAGACATATACTAAATCTAAGCAGCACCTTTCCATGCATTGGGGTCTTGAATCTTATAAAAAGGAGAAAGTAAGCTAAGTACCAGTATTCATTGCTTCCCATCTCCAAATAATGGACACAATGTGAACAATGTCCTCAGGCTCTGGACACAATTCCTTCTCTTGTATGACAGATGTTACCCTCAAACTATAAGCCAAAATAAATCATGCTTTGTTCACCTTCCTTTTGTCGGGTATTTTTTTATCACAACAACAAGAAAAATAACTGATATATCACTTAACATAGCAAAGCCACAGGTTTCTAGGACAAGGATATTGATCCTTAGGGAGTATTATTCAGTGATCATACGTTCAAGCAAGTGGTATTTAGTTAATAGCAATAGTAGCTAATACATGTGCTTGCTTACTCTCTGCCAGGTATTGACCAGTGTAATTTACAAATATTTATGCATCTCATTTACATAACAAACTTTTCAATATGAGACAATAACTATTATCATCCTTCTTGTGGCAAAAAAATATTAGACACAGAAATGTGGGGGCACTTCATGGAACCAGTAAAACGCAGAGTGAAGATATGAACTCGGAGAGACCAGGACCATAGTCCATGCATTTAAGTGACACTCATTCTGTCCTTTAATTTAATGTGTTAATCAGAAAAGTGAAGGAAGACTTTGCTTAAACTAAATAGTTGAACTGCTAAAATACTGCTAGAGAGAAGAACAATGTTTTCATTGTTTGCATGTTCCAACATTTTATCATCATATCTGTTTTCTTGGGATGTGGTTTTACATCTGGGGCTTTCATTCCTTAATCACTCTGGTTGAGAGTCCCCTGAGGTTTGAGGAAGGCAATTTTACCTGCAAGAAATCATTTTATATAGCGAGAAGTAGGTATGCCAAGTTTCAAAACCCAATGACTAACATAATAAGAGTACTGAAGATAAAATTACTACTCCTTTTGTATATAAATATCTTCTATCCTACTGAAACACCAGAGTATTTAATTTTATATTAAAAACTACTTTAAATATATTGGAGGTGATAAGTAAAGCAAGTGTTTGAGAGGATAAAGTACCTTGCATGCTCCTGTACCATCATGTCCCCCTTCGTCCAGAAAGAGAGTGCCCTTGGGGAAGCTCTGGGTTTGCAATCCAAGTTGACCAGGCTGCCCACCTGCACTTGAACCAACTTTTTCATTGGGTTCCTTGAAAAATCTGGAGCAGAGGCTGAAGAAGAAAGAAAGAGAAAAAAAATTGGATTGTTGATTTAATAAAAATTGAATGATTTTTAAAAGTTCCCTGTAAACTTGGAAGGTCAACTGTGTAAGTATTTAAAATCCTGCTTGACATGGTATGATTTGCTTGATTTACTGTGTACCAAACACAAAAATGTAATGTTGAAAAAGTAATTTGTGCTTTTGTGTTTAGGGTCAAGTTTTAAATCTTGAGATCATTACTATATATGGGAATTTATTAATGTTTACTGTGAAGATTTAAATAGATCAATTATGAATTTATTAAAATAAATCATCTGGCATAACATGTTTAGAAAAGTTACTTCCATCAAAAAAGGGGTAGGATTGGTTTTTTTGTGGACCCCTAGGACATATTACCCAGCAAGGGCCTGGCACTCAACAGGTACTCAAGAAAGATTCTAGAATGATGTCTGAGTTCTAAACTGATTCTCACTTGATTCATTACTTTTATTAGAAATCTGCAAAGAAGCATTCCCTAGGTGATAATACTACAGCTGGTAAGGCTGTGTTAGCTGCATATGCCCTTCCTTCTGCTGGATTAATTTGACTTTGGGCCTTAAGTCTGGACATCCTGGTTGCTTTCTTTAAAAATCAATTAAAATACATTTTGATGTTTGTATGTCTGTGCTTCCTTTTGAGATAAGACATTATTCTGTAATCCAGCTTGGCTCTCTGACAGACTGGCCTCAACTTCATGGCAATCTTCCTGCCTCTGCCTTCCAGGTGCTCGGATTACAGGTATCAGTAAAATATATGCCTGGATTAGAAAACTTGAAAAACCATATGACACTGAACATGTTACAAGAAGGAATCTAATGTGACAAGCCAGCATTTTAGATTCTGGCAACAATAAAAGATTTTAAAAAAAAGTACGAAAAATGCAGAAAAACAATTAGTCTTACCAACAACCTTGAGCTCTGCACTGGAGTAGATTAGACCATGTTTGTTTTCCGCTATACACTGGAACATGCCAGAATCACTCACATTGAGATTAGATATTGTGAGGGCGCCATTTTCTATCTGTATTCTCTCCTAGATGGAATATGAAAAGTCTTCTTGCATATAAATAAAGTTTTTGGAGAAAAATCAACACTACTCACTGTCATTTTAATCAGACAAAAGGCCCCTCTATTTCCTTGGAGTATTAGGCAATCGACATGAAATTTAACCTTTCCTCTTCTTGAAATGGGAAAAATTCTATTCTTTCTCTTCTTTGAGATATGACATGTGAGTAAACATCAGAAAACAACGGTCAAAGCCAGCGGTGAGGTATGGCAGCCATTTCACTCTCAACCATGGTTAAAGATTCAGACAGTTAAATAAAAGAAAAGCTGTACCGTTTCATGCTGACAGTTGGGAAGATTTTCACCACAATATTTTTTTAGTAATTGTGCAAGTTTAAGACATTATAAATTCAGTACATTAAAAAGAGGTTTCAGAAACACATATATTTAGCAGGTTTAAAAAATGTATGGTTATATAAAGGAACATAATTGACAGTACACACACAAGAAGAGCAGAAATTGTGTGACTGGAGAGGAGAAGGGACTAAGAAAATAAGTACTCAAGTAGGAAGGTAACCAATTAATAGATAACATTTATATCCCCAACACCATGCCAAAGCGCCAAACAGGAATATGAAATTGTATTCTGCATTTGATTAAAGCAAAGCCTCCTTTAATGCCAATACTTCAAATCAGAGTATGTTATTTTATAGATACAAAATCACATTTACCCACTAATTGCAATATGGATGAAATATCCTCTTTGGAAGATAAGGTACTTGATTTTTATATTACTGTCCCTGTGTTATGGCTTCCAAGGAAGATACTTGTACAGGCTCATGTGTCTGAACATGGAAGACCTTGGAACTCTGGGACTTGTGGTCATGCTAGTAGGGTTGGAATCCTTCTGCAGAAACATTAGGTGGCATTTGCTTATGGTTCTTGCCCTAGCTCCATGCTTTCTGATCCTGTCTCCATAAACTCCTACTAATTGTCATGATGGATTGAAACTGTCTGCTAAAATAAATATTTCCTATCTTTACGTTGCTTCTGTTCCAACTAGGCTGGTGTATGTGTGGTGTGTGTGTGTGTGTGTGTGTGTGTGTGTGTGTGTGTATGTGTGTGTGTGTGTGTGTGTATATATTTGTGTAGGTGTGTTGGGGAAGCATGTGTGTTTGAGGAGCACGATGAACCATTATGAAGCTCTC